AGTGAGCTAAGTTGGAGGTGTTTTGTTTTGAGAAAAGAAAAGGTAATATTTGATGCTAGTTGATGTGTGGTATGAATGGGAATGTAAGCTTGTTTGTAGATATGTCTATGGTAAATAGGCTAAAAGTGGGCAGTCTGTTGATGTTGTTGTGATAGTAATTATGAGTGTAATAATGGAGTGATAAGCTATCTTGACTGAAGAGTAAGAGAAAAAAAAAGGAATCTATTTCTTTGTGTTTTTTATTTGATTGGCCAATGAATGGAGGAAGTAATGAGCAGATGAATTGATTGTAAACTGAAATGTTGGTTGCAGCCGTATTGTTTGTGGGTCCGGTTGTCTGTTATCATGCATTTGTTATGCATGTGCGGTCTGTTTGGTTTGTCTGTTGTGCTGTTTGGTTGTGTTGATGCTTGTATAGTGTGCTGCTTGATTGTTGTGCAGGTGTACTGTGGTTGCTTGGATGAGGCTGTCGATTTGTTACTTTGGTTGTATGTCATTATAGTTTGTAACATGTTGTGACATGTAGATAGTTTGAGAGTTGATGGTGTGTGTGATACTTAATGCTGCAGAGTTGTGTAGATGTGGAGGCTGAGGTAGTCCAGAGCAGGAAGCAGTGGTACTGTTGCGTGTTTGTGTTGGAGTGAGTTGATGATACTTTTGTGAGTGTAATTGAGCATGTTGTTGTGTGTAAAGACAGGTGGAATGCGTGTCAGAGAATGTCCTAACAGTTAAGCAGTGTGCTAGAGTAGTGTGTGTTGTTTGGTTAGAGTGCTCGGTTTAAGCATGTAGGTTGTGACAGTTCTGAAGTGTTTGAATGTGTAGTAGTGTATGGAAATGGGCAGTGTGGTGAAGCTGTCCAGCCGTAGTACAATGCAGCTGCAAGTGAGAAGGGGGTGAAGGAACGGAGGACATGGTTGGCAGTAGCATGAGTAAACAGCAAAGCAGTTGATGTGGTAGCATTTTATTGGCAGCTGGTAGTTGAGCAGGAGTCGCAGGCTTAACGAGCGGCCAGAGGATGCAGGTAGCTGGAGGAAGAAGAGAGAGAGGTTTAGTTGTGACATACGCATGTGTAGCCTTGCAGGAGTTTTCCTGCTGAAATGAGAGTGAAGAGAATTGGTGTGGTAGGGATCAGTTGATTGCTAGTGCAGTGCAGGTGGACTGGCAGTTAGTTGAGTAGAAGAAGCAGGGTGCGGGAGGCCTAAGAAGCATGAGCTTAGAAAGAAGCAAAGGATGGCTTACCTGTAGAGTCCCCTGCTCCCTGCTGTTGTCGCCTGCTCGTTGGAGTCGCGCAGTTCGAGTCGCGCTGTGTCTTTACACGCGCCAGTCTTCACACGACGAAGGATGAACACGACCATCTCGCCTGCCCCATCCCGACTGCCGCTTCCGCTGCCGCTTCAACAATGAGCCTCCTTATGTACCTCCTGCTCCACCGCTTGCAGCTGCTACTCGTTCCTCGTTAACCAATCGGAAGACGGCTTGCTGCTAGCACCGCCTCTTCTCCTTGGCCGTTACTCCACTGGCCAATCAGTACTCTCCACCCACAATCATCCATGCAGACCGGCCACGCCTACCAACCATCTGCTTTTGCAACATGTCACAGCAAAAGCAAAAGTTCAATAAAGATCCATTGCAAATACTCTGTCTCCAGGTGTTCACTATCGCATGCAGCTACAGATTACCTCCAACACCTTCCATCCGCACCTCTTTACACCACAACTGCTCCATCTCTGCAAACAACCACGATACCAGTTGCTTTCAACACAAAGCTCGCGCACACACTTAGCCAGGCAACACAACTCTGCCCCTCCCACAACAACACAACACCAGGCTGCAAATCACACACTCACCTGCCTCCTTTCCTAGACACCAATCCACCTTAACACCAAAGGACCTCAAATATTATATATATATATATATATATATATATATATATATATATATATATATATATATATATATATATATATAGAGAGAGAGAGAGAGAGAGAGAGAGAGACAGAGAGAGAGAGATATAGATATATATAGAGAGATATATAGATATATACATATATATAGATATAGACAGAGAAAGAGAGAGAGAGATACATAGATAGATAGATAGATAGATAGATAGATAGATAGATAGATAGATAGATAGATAGATAGATAGATAGATAGATAGATAGATAGATAGATAGATAGATAGATAGATAGATAGATAGATAGATAGATAGATAGATAGAGATATCTATACACACACATATAGACACAAATATACACACACACATATATGTATATATGTATATATATATATATATATATATATATATATATATATATATATATATATACATACATACATACATACATACATACACACATACACACATACATACTTACACACAGACAGACCATTGAGTATGGCCAAAACAATTACTTCATTGCTTAATAAACCACCCTTCACAACAGTTGCCCACATCAAATAACACTCTCCACCAGCTCGTTGCTTCTGTGTCACAATCAAGACAACACAACTACACCTTCAACACAGACTGTTCCCCTCACAATGTCATCCACTGATGAGCCTTCACAACTGGGAGGCCACATTACAGCTCTACAACAGCCTTCACAGCACTGGCCCTGTCTCCTATGGACAGATCACATCCTCATCAACTTTGAACACAGTGATGGGAAGCCGACACTGTGCCAATGGAAAGGAACAGCTCATGATGCCAAGCACTAAAGCATGCTGCTACTACTGTCATGCCATAGACATGTATGGCTGTCCGTCAAACTGCTTCTCCTCTTTTCATTGATGATGTGACTGCTGACAAACCCAGTGGGACAAACTCACAAAGGTTTCAGCCAATCTTTTCACCACTTACCACCTCACACACTTCACTCATTAAAAGCTCTTTCACACTGCACATGGACACTGCCCCAGAGCACACTGCAAATTCAACCAAACAAAACTACTACATTATGCAATGATCCAGTCTATCACCTCACCACCACACCCCTCAGCTTGCATTTATCAACATTCTAGGGACAATGGCCCAGGAACAAGCTGAAATTCAACACTGCTGCTGTAGAGGCCTGCCTGCCAGAGCAGCACCTGCAAGACAACCCAGCCTTTGCTCATGACCACAGATTCCACACATCAGCCTCTAATTGACTACAAAGGATCTACAACCCACTATTACAAAGTCACACTTTCATTTCTCATTATTATTCCATCTGAATGTAAGCATCAAACCTATTCTGTGGCCAGCCAGATTTACATACCTTTATTTGCTCCTTTGACCCATTGTCTGCCTGCACCTTGCTTTCAACTCACACTACACTCCACCTCTTCCAAGGTCACACACTCCCACTTCCACGTCCAGCTCCTTGCAGCATCCCAATAGCTCTGATCAGCTCATCAGCTAAACATGCCCTTTCCCACACTCTCACACCTCCATTTTACAGCCTTTCCTCAACAGCCCTTCCCAATTCTGGACACCTGGGACAGCTCAATTCTTACCTTTTTACCAAAACTCGTGTCTCAACACCATCAAAAGCCATTACGGATCACATATAGTTCATGACAACATTAACCTCATAACACAATTGCTTGTTAGCCATTTGCTTGTCAGCACATTTCAAACAAACACATTTCACATTCACTTCTCATCCACTTGCAAACTTCAACGCTGTACGGCACATCACTTCGTCTGGTTACATCCATCCGCAGACACATCGATCTATGCTATATGTCAGCACTACACTGACAACACAACGCCATTGATCACGCATCTCTTTCAAATATTACATATTGCAAAAGTCTCTTTTTTCAAACAACCACAGGTCACAAATGTCACCACAAACCATTTCTCCTACGTTTTTTTTTTTTTACCATGGCCCATTGTGCCATTCACCTAACCTTTGTGTCCTTCACTTTACAGCTCACTCATTCTGTATTTACTCCTGCTGAGGCATGTATATCTCTCATCTAGCAAAGAGGAAGATCAGCTACATCTAAATGTACCACACAACCAACTACAAGACCACTTGCATATGCACATACACCCATGCAACTCACACCAAACACTTCAATATTCGTTCATTGTTGTGCCATTCTCTATTCTCACACACACACACACACACACAATCAATGTTCGCCCGCACCACTACCAACCAATAGCTCAACAGAAACAACCCATACTTAATCACTTTATTATTATTGTTATTGTTGCTGTTAATTATTATTATTACTATTATTACTATTATTGCTGTTGTTGTTTTTGATATCATTATCATCATCGTCATTACCATTCCATACCATTGCTCTTCTTTGCCTCACATTTATGTACATTTACATTCTTCAAAACTCTTCCCATATTTCTCTTTGCCTTGTAAACATTACCACAACGTCGTCTCAAACTGATCGCACTCCTGCCCTGTTCTTTTGCTCCTTCCTTTTCCTTTTCAAACTTGCATGTGTTTCCTTAGCTTGCAAAGCACTGCATGTGACCGTTCCCATACCTCACCTTCTCACTGCCGCAACTACTTTCCTTTTACTTATCGGCATGGAACTCACAAATACACACTCTTGGCCTCCATACACCAATCACAGCCGATACACACTTTACCACCAACGACTCACAGCCACGCTTATGCATACTCTCAACACAACTGCACATCACCTTGTATCCATTCAACTACACTTCTGGAGCCACATAACTGCATGTCACTTTCCAACAAGCATGCCAACACATTTGCATGTAAATACACACTTTATTTCAAAGAAAATCCTCACTTTTCCCCCTCATCGCTTTTTACTTTATGTTTACACAACAGTTTCTACCATATACGCAAACGTACTACTCCTAGCCCATTTTTACTGCACCATCATATGGATCCATACATCACAGCCACCCGCAAACCAACTCACTCGCACAAAACAGACAACTTGCATCACTCACTCACTCACTCACTGTCTGTCTTTCTGTCTGTCTCTGTCCATCTCTGTCTCTGTGCAGTCGGACCTTCAGCAGTACAGCGTCTGGACAGCTCCACTGTGAGGACCTACTCTTGCTGAGATCTGCGTCTGCGCCACAAGCTGTGAGTTCACCTCTTTCCTTCACTACTTCTAAACCTCCCCATATTCACTTAACACATTCCTAGGCGGAACACATTCTTACTAACAAACACAACTCGCATCTAATAGCACTGCTACATTTACTCACACACACACACCGCACATTCTACACTCACCCGCACGTTACAGCTTCTACAATCTAACTGTTTAACAACAGTACAGTCATCAACATAACAAATACCTCACTTAAATATTTACACCCACATGTGCAACGACTCCGCTTATGTTTCTCTCACATTTCCTACATCTCATGCCTTCATCCAAGTAAAACTGCTAGCTTTTCACATCCTACCAAATCAGACGCAACTCTCAAACTACGCATATCTGCTCCTGGCCTCCACTGCACGGCTTCCTCCACCACCTACAGGAAACTTCTTTGTCTTTTATGATGCTAAAGGCTTACACCGGTTCTTACGCATATTTCAAAAGCCTGCCCATCAACTCTCCAACAACATTTCATTCAACCCTCTTATGGACAAAAGGAACACACTTTGCCTTGCATCTTACTGTGCTACAAAACCATGGAACGCTACTTCATCTTTGAAGGGGACATGATATGAGACTACTGTTTTCCCCTTACCCACCAAATTGATTGACAGGTGCCATGTTTCCACAGTAACATGTATACGCATGTCCACAGGACATTTCTTCTTGCTAATAAACTGAGATTCAAATATTTATTCCGACTGTCTGTCATTTTTATCACTTTAGCACAGTTTACAATGTTGTCACTTTTAAACAGTACTCAAGTGTACATACCCGCTGCACGTGGGCATTTGTCATTATGTACACACCCACTGTACGTATACATTTGTAATTATGTTTATCTATCTACACACTTCTGATTATTAATAGCAACCTGTACATTAATTAATTTCTTCTAAATCTCTTTATAGCTGTACATAATGTTCATAGTAAATCCATCTGTAAATATCACCATACTTTTTCAATAACTGCGCTTTATCACTTAGACCTGTTTCCTGCACTGCTGTTTAGACCGAAGCAGCGTTTTCTTGCCTTGTACTTCAACATATGTAATGACAATACAGTTGAGTTGAATCTGGTGTAGCACGTGATGACAAGCGCACACATACATGGGAACGGTGGCCAGGGAGAAGCAACTCATTTTCATTTCACATCACAGCTACAGTACACTCACACAGCAAAATGCCCATCTTCTGGACCCGTTACACAGAATCTGATGGCTACTTTCAGCTCAAACTTTACAGACACAATCTGGAGACGCCAAACACTTATCTAAGCCTTATGTACAAATAAAGCCCATAACAGCTATCCACTGCTTAATGCTGCTGAATCATGCTGAAAAAACAAATATTGCACAAACAACTACATGACCGCTACTGCACCAATCACAGCCTGCATACACACTCACTAATAGCTGGATCCTCACAACTTCTCTCATTATATGCAGGGTTCCTACTGGAAATCATTCAAAATGCTTCCATTTTACTCAAGGTTGGGAAAGTGCTTCAATATTGGACTAAGCACTTCAAACAGCTTCACAAATCCTTCTGTTGCTTTCATCATTTATCTCACTAAATACTAAATACTACTACTACTACTACTACTACTACTAATAATAATAATAATAAAAATAAGAATAATAATCATAATAATAGTTCTAAACTATTTTAAGAACATTACAACATTTTGCTCTTTTCTATAAAAACAACACTCTGGAGTCTGTGCATGTGCTTCTACTATGATTTGCTCTTTTTTTTTATCTGCACTGTTTTACATTCAACCCCAATTCCAAGATCTAAAATCACCCATTTCAGAGGAAAGTACATCACATTTAAGACACCAAATGACAGTCATTTAGTGTTGGCCTTGCAGCAAACATGCTATCAAAACATTCTCTTCACAATGCTATATTAAACAATACTACAACCATTAGCATCTTACATAATGTCATTAACTCTCTTTATGTATGAAAACAACTCACACTTGTAAAGTGCTACCAAACGTTCCAATGCACCTGGAAAGTACTTCAAAAATCATTCAATTTGACATTGGAAAATACTGTACCAGCCCTGTATGTATGCCCACAGTCAACTCAATTCCTCACAAGACACATGCGCTCCTCTTCTTAAAACACAAATGCAGTAAACTGACATAAAGCTGCACTACAACAGCCTTATATAGACGTATCACTTCACAAACATTATTTACAATAGCAAAATCGCTACACATTGCAATATAAACACATTTCAAATACAGTACAATACAGTTCATCAACAGTGGAAGTTGCAGTAAACTGACATAAAGCTGCACTACAACAGCCTTATATAGACGTATCACTTCACAAACATTATTTACAATAGCAAAATCGCTACACATTGCAATATAAACACATTTCAAATACAGTACAATACAGTTCATCAACAGTGGAAGTTGCACTAAACTGCAGTAAAACAACTCCACTCTGTCTTTACCGCTCTTGATTCAAAACTTCATTCTTAATATTGCAGTTGACTTTTAATGCTCATTCATGTATTGCCCTTAGGTACATAAATATTACAAGTGCACTTTACTTTCACTATGTATTGCACTATTGTACATGTATTTCTATGCTTACTTATACTACTGAAAATTGCAATATATATATATATATATATATATATGCATGCTAAATAATTGATGACAACCTCAAATCCGCTCTTGTCCAAGCATCCCAACTGACAAGCACAACTTTACCATCCATTTTCACATTGCCAGCTACAAATATACAAAGCCTTCAATTCTTTCTCCATAATCATTTTTTACAATCCCGCAGCTCCTTTTCCTTCCCGTTACAATCTTTGCCCGTCTGCATACTATCCACAACTCTTACATGCAAATGTCTTCTGACCTTCACCACCTTAAACCTGTTCTTCTTTTTCTTTCAGACTCTTACCTTCAAGTTGGCCTCAACAAACAATTCTGACAAGTCACACTGCCAAGAGAACAACACAAGCCTGTGGACCGCAGGGACTGGAGGAGGAGGGCAGAGGAGTGCCGCTCTCCCCCGTCCCGCTCCACCAACTGAGGCCACGACCCCAGTGTCTGCCGTCTTTTACGCCACGTGGCTCCATCGGCTCAAGTACTGTGTATTTCTTCTACAGGGGATGTGTAGGTTCAACTGTAAATCATTCTACTGTAAATAATGCTGTTTTATATATAAATACAGAAATATAAATAAATAAATAAATATATATAGATATATCTACTTGTCTGTATAAAAGGACAAATAACGCATTCACGGTTTGTGCACATCGTGTCCTTTTATGTCATCATTTCAAAAGATGCTGCTGCTGATGCTGCTGCTGTACAACTTTTCGCCTACCCCCAACAGACACCTTACACGTGCTCTTACTTTCCTTTCATTCCCTTGTGCGTTTTAACATTTGGAAACAGAGTCTACATCGCACCGCTCATCTTAGCAACCAGCTCAAATATATCGCATGCTGTTGAACAGCGTTCACAATCACTGACACGCCAAATGCAACGCTCTGCAGTCATTCGTTCCACCGCATTGCCACAAAAACCTACTATGGCCAACATTACGAAAGCACTGCGTTCAATTGCAGGAAACCCACCAATCATCCCTAACACCCGCACACCAAATTGACACTTTTAATACTTCTTAACGCTCTTTCATTTCATTAACCATCTCTTACAACACATCACAAATGCCAATCCATCTTTTCTAGTACTGTGCGTTAAAGGGAAACGTCAGCAAAACATCAACACCCGCACACTTTCTTCTTCACAACACAAAAACACCAAGGAACTCTCTACCATGCACAGCACAAACTACAATCAGTGGCTGCACATTTTCTATTCTCATTACATTACTAATCAACACAAGCAACCGACTCAAACACACTTTCCGCCAGGTCAATAAATCAACTCCAGTTTGCCAAATTCAGACGCTATCCCTTTAACAACCTCACCGATTGGCCAGAGTATAGCACACGCCTTCATCTTCAAGCACACGCTCATTTTCTCAGAGAACACTGAAAACACAAAAACTCATTTTTCATCAACAAATTCTCCTCCGTCATCGGGAGCACAAAATCTAGGTTTGCTCCGTGGCCCATTGGAGCGTCCTGCCGCTTTTCATCATGGGAAACTCCTGAAGGACAGGTTTAGCTCATAGTGAACGTAGACTTACTTGCTGTGACTTACTTTGGTGTAAAAAATGTTTCCTGCTCGGGGGACGTCAGTTGTACAGCCCTTCGCTTCCTGTCCTTTGGTTATTTCTGACACGGTTTCTACATTGTTTTGCACGCACAGAGAACTCTTTTATTTTGTGTCCATTTTTTATTACTGATTGTATTTTGGTCAAAACTATGTGGTGATCAAACAACTTTTCATTGTCAATAAAAAATACAGTCCAATTGCCTTGCTATTACAGCACTTTCTTTTACTCTGTTTTCTTCACCCTGCTACACCACGTTACCTTTCACTTTGACTCATTCATTGTGTTGCATGAACACTCTCACCAAAACATCAGATCGACATTACACTATGGAAAAATATGTGACTTTCACATAAACAATCACATTCACAGTCAACGTCATTCGCTTTTTCCGGAGGACTTGCTGAGCACAACTAACATTTTTCTATGAACACAGTCAAGCCGTTTTACAAACTATCATATAGCAATAGCAAAACTCACAAACTTCAGAATGATCACAGATATTGCCACGACACAAACAAAAACATTAAACATTTAAAATGACTTTTAGGAACTACAAAATGTCTTCCCTTTCTTTGGATATGGGAGGGTCAAACAAATACATATACGTTTCATTTTGTATAAATCAGCCACTACAAATACCCCTAACAACACTCAATTACTTCAACTTCTTATATTTGGTACAAATCATACAAAAATATCACTACAGCGCTACACTCTCATCATGTTAGCGCAATCAAATTATTACTGTCAGTCACACTGCTAAAAACACATTAGGGAATGTAGAGTACAATCTGTTCACAAGCATGTTTTCCATGCCAGAATGTTTCTCTTTCATCAAATCTTTCGTAGGTTCTTACATCTTGGAGAGGAAAGTGATTCACTCCAAGTGTGTGTGTGTGTGTGTGTGTGTGTGTGTGTGTGTGTCTCTGCATCTGGTGGTAAATTATTTACCAGCTCCTTTTACACTTTCTCTCAGCATCTTCTCGATGTCCTTGAAGACCTCTGGATCCTCTATAGTGGGACTGATCTATGCATTTCAAATTATAAACAAAGCATTAAAACAACTCTGCTTAACCACAAAACTTTCATTCAACTGCTCATTATATATAATTCGTTATATTCATTCAACTGCTCATTATTTAAAAAAAAAAAATTTATATATATATATATTTATTTATTTATTTTTTACGTGTTAATATATTTTTCTTATTATTAATATATCACTATTATTAATATTTATGATTACAAAACAAAGGCCATCAAATACCTTGTAGGGCTTTTGGTTGACCAGGTTTGCCAGAGAGGATCGTGGTATTTTCCCCGAGCGTGTTTTGGGAAGAGCTTTGACAAAGAACACCTTCCTGAAAGCTGCCACAGGACCAATGGTGTCTCTCACTAACTTCACCAACCCCTTCACCAGATCATCTTCGCTTTCCTTACAGTCTGCAAAAACACACACACACACACAAACACACACACACACACACACACACACACACATTATACACACATATATTTGTTAATAAACATTGCTTACTGCATTCTTTACCATTAAGCATTGCTCCTTACTCTACAATCTTCTCATGTTATTTTGCACATCTGGTACATTCCTACACTAACTAAATCACCATTACACATTAGATATTTTTCAAGACACTTCTATACAGCTTAAAGTGACGTTTAAAGCCTTAACCAGGTTAATTAGGTTAACTAGGCAGGTTACGGTAATTAGGTAAGTTACTGTATAGCGATGGTTTGACCTGACAAATATATGACCTGAAGGGGTTAATAGTTTTGACCTTAAAATGGTTTTTCAAAAATTAATAACTGCTTTTATTCTAGCTGAAATAAAACAAATAAGACTTTCTCTACAAGAAAAAGTATTATTCTGTGTTAAATTTACTGTGAAAATTTGCTTTCTCTGTTCATCATTTGGGAAATATTTGACAAAAAAAAGGCAAAATAATTCAAAGAGGGGCTAATAATTCTGACTTCAACTGTACAAGCCTCTTCTGCCTTATCTATTCATTTCACTGTTAGTATTTACACTGTCAATTCAACAAATAAGCTATAATTTCAGTAATTGTTTTAGACGCATCACACATTATAAAATCTGACACGCTTATTGACTACACTCCAAATGCAAATCTATTCTCATATTGTATACACTGCAAAAAATGCTTTTCATACTTAGACTTTTTTTGTCTCGTATCTAGTTCTACAAATTCTTAAATCAAGAAGCATTTTCTAGACAAGCAAAATATATTGTCTTCTTTTAAGAAATAATATGCTACAATGAAGTGAGTTTTTCCTCAAATCACGCAAAATAATCTACCAATGTGGTAAGCTAAATAATCTTGTTTTTCGATTTGTGATAAGATTATTTTCATTACTTTCATTGCTTTCATTGCTTGTCTACAAAATGCTTCTTGATTTAAGAACTTTTAGATATTTGGACTACAAACAAGACAAAAAAAAATCTAAGAAAGAAAAGCATTTTTTGCAGTGTATATTCATGTTAATTAGATACATTCAAAGATTTTTCATTTACTTTTGTCATGGAAAGTGCCATATCAAAAACAAATACAGGAAAGCTATCGTGTCAAACTCCAGTCATTTTCTTAGTTCAGTTCTCACCGTTCCGAAGCACACATAAAGCCAGAGGCACGTGTCCTTTCAGAGAATCCTCCAGTCCCACCACAGCACAGTCCACCACAGCAGGGTGAAGCAGGACGGACTGAACCACACACACACATCATATGTTGGTGTAGCAACAGTAAACGCTCTTTAAGGTTGAATATCAGTAGTACAATGGCACAGACCTCCTCAAGAGCCCCAGTGGACAATCTGTGACCCGCCACGTTGATGACATCATCAGAGCGAGCCATGATGTACAGGAAACCCTCCTCATCCACGAAACCAGCATCCATGGTGTCGTAGTAACCCTAACAAAAGAGTTCAGACGGATAGAAACATGTAGTCATGTTAATGCTGCCTCTGTCCAACACTGGATGGCGCTGCAGCCCTATAGACTCTTGCTAGTAAAGCATATTCACATTCACAAACAATACAATACAAATACAAAAGAAACGAGTCTGCCTCCACCCAACTTCCACTCTAGATGGTGTGTTGATGCTCATTTCCCAAATGGCCTGGATTATGATAAAGAAGATGTCAACAGTTTGTTGTCTGCATTGCTTCAGCTGACAACATCTTGACCAAATGGTAATGATTGTAGAATGGGGAAGGAAGTAGTGCACATACAAGCGTCTCATCAATAGTGGAAGCTGCATTATCATAGAGAGAACAGCTGGGTCAACAGCCAAAGAGCAACTTCATTCACATCTACAGACAAGTCTAAAGCCAACATCAAAAACAGTTTTAAAGATCCCAGTTTCAACATGTTCAGGGCTCCTTCGGACTCTGGCCGTGTATTTGGACACTGCTATGCTGAATTAACATCTTCATAGACTTCTTCTATGTCTTCCTTTATTTTTTCTTACACAATCATAATAACAATGGCCACTGTGGTGATATTAATATACCCTGTACATGCTGGACTGGCATAAACATTTAAGGTTTTTTTTTTCGCACTCTTACTATTTGCTTAGTAACAGTACTTGTAAGCCTGTGTTATCCACTGTTAATACATTAGAGACGTGCTGTATTTGCTGCTTCTGCATCCTTTTTGAAGGCTGCTGCAATCCTCTGTGGTAAACACACTGAAAACTTCAGTCCTTCATTTCTAATCCACTGAAAGATGAACACACACACACACACACACACACACACACACACACACACACACACACACACACACACACACACACACGCGCTTTACACTCGGCTCTAGTCATGACTGTTAGCTTATGGACTGACACAGTAAGCAGCGGCTCGCATGACATCATCAAACACACATGCAGAGCGGACTCAGGTGACAGGATTCTCACTGCCCTGCCTGATTATGAGCAAAACACACTCATTAAAAGACAGAGTCTGTTCACAACAAAGAGTCGCATGCACACTTTCCCTGCCACCTGCCTTCAGTGCTCAAGGAAAATACATTCAATTAAACAAGGTTTGGCTGAAGCAATAATCCTATGGGAATACCTTATACATGTACATATGTAGCTTACTTTTCTATGATGACGATCACTTCATATTTTATAAACTGTACACTTTCAGCTACTCTTTACAAAAAGATTCATTTGTTCATGCCATACATTTACTTCTGATTTATTAATAATTCTTTCCTGATACATTACTGCAATGTATTATTATCATCTTCTGCAATGACTTCATGCATTAGATGTGTCAATATTACATATTTTGTGTATGTATTAGGACACGCGTAATACATTCTGTAACAAACATTTGACTATTGCTATAAGCAAAGGCTTTATTTAGATTTCTGACAGTTTTATGTGTACTCATATTGGATTGTGGACCTGACTACAACTCGTTTCAATATTTTCAAAGAATGCCACATATTGTCGGCAGAAGAAATCATTGAACAGCCCTTTCCTATAATGAAAACACATCTACACTTTTCTACAAACGTAACCCCCAAAGAGCCTTATTACTATATACACCTTCATCAAATATTCAACTGCACACTTCAAATTTCAACCACATTACTCCTTTCTGCCAAAGGGGGTAGTTTTTGACCAAATTAACTGCATCACACATAAGGCTGTGCTAGTGTATTTGCGTCAGGCTACTAAACCTTCATTACAAAACAGATGCATGTGTAACAAAACAACAACATTTCAGTAAAGGCAGAGCAGATGGAGGACATACAGTATATGGTGATTCTTACTGTGAATTTGGTGAAGTAGAGCTCTTTAAAGAGCATGTGGTTCTGCCAGAGACTCAGAGCTGCTCCGGGAGGCAGAGGAAGCCTGATGAGAGAAGAACAGGAGACGCTTTTAGAAAAAGAAAAAAGACAAATATTCAAGACGTGACCTTCCTCCGCTCTCAACCATCGAAAAACTGCATTTTTTGCATCCTTTCAGGGTCAAAGTATGCTTTCAACTGTGAATATAAATGACAATACACAGAGGACAAAAAAGAACAGAAGAAGAAAAAACAACATGAATGGAAACCATGATTTTTTTTTTTTTTTTTTACAAATGTGTTCAGCCATCGCCATCATATTCTTTCAAGCCTGTATGACTATTCTGCACAAAATAAAGA